TAACGTCGAAATACCGACAACTCGAGAAACGCCGATTTGTTGCACTCTTCTCTCGCCGTTTTGCTATGCTAGTGTGTTAGCATTTACCGCGAAATTCAAACACCGCGAGGGTATTTCGAATAATTCGATTCGATCGTAATGACTATAACGAGCTAAAGCCAGGGGCCCAACCAAAAAAACTAAAAGTGCACGTGTGTGTTTTTTGAAAAATTCTTCATACGAATACGTTCAATCGATCTAATGAGATCTCTTCGACGGTATTTTTCGAAATTTTCCTTACATAAGATCACAGGTAAGGAACATCGCACGACCGGAAAACGTACGCAGGGATTGTTGGCGTCAAAAACTGATGTGTTTTACAGTGAACCTTCTCCTCACGGGTTCAATCAGATTCACAGTTTGCCTGGCGATGGTTCAGAACCGTATGTTACCGTACACGGTGCGTGAACATATCGCGGGAACTTTTTGTCACGCGACGATAAAAGTGTTGAAAAAAACTATAGTGCTCGACATTTGCCTCCGCACAGCGCTTTTGCGTAGGTAATTTATGCAAAATAGATCGGCGAGCATTATTTATTGCAGCAATCCATGTTAGCGTTTCGCGTAGTGCATCGTTTCACCGTTTTTATTATACAATTGTGTACGTGCTTGGCTTGCTCATTCGGCACTGCAAATCGATTATCTTTGAATGGTATACATATATATATATATATATAAATATTTTAATGGCATCTTTGTTAAAAAAAAAAAAAAAAAAAAAAAAAAAAAACAACGATTACAATAATTTTACATCGGGATCGTCGCGTCAACTGGGATGAAGGCGCGAGAGAAATTGAACTTGGCGCGCACCGCCACGAGGAACAGGTGGACGTATCTAAATGGTTCGCATCCGATAGACGATTAATCGGTCAACACACAATTAATGTGTCACGTTGCGAGTTAACCGTCTTAATCCTATTATACGGACACGGTCGGGGTTGATTTAAAACGTATTTAAGTGATTCCTTAGCAGCGCGATCGAGAATCAGGATACCTATAAGAATATTTAAACGATCTGTGCGTGTTTTACCGTTCGATACACGTTTTGTTCGTTCTTCGAATATTGTTTCAAACGCCTTTATTTTTTCAGGAAACTCATAGCTACTTCTCATTGTCTAACGTTCACTGTTCACAATCATAAATCCAACATAAGACTAACGGATTTTTAGTTTATTGGTTAGAATATTAAACTATACAGTTACATAGTTTAAAGTCTTAAATACAAGAAGAACAGAGAAAATAATTCGTATCTATTTTTACGTTTTATTTCTTTATGGAACATGGTTAAATAAAAAGTTATCCTGTATCTATAAACATATTCGTTGTGATTTTTCAGCCATTAGGCTCAGAAGCGTGTTTATGATACATATTATTGACTATGTTACGTAGGGTATACAATGACGAATCGTTTAGCATTTTTTGTTTAAATTAATCAATTATATTGAGTTACTTTTGTTATAATATATATATATATTATAGTGAATTTATATAAATTCGTTGAGTATATCATAAAACGCGTGAATTCGAATAATCGAACGACTAAAAGTAAGTCTGTGCGTAAAGACGCCATTTGAAAGGTATTTAATAATAGTCGGTATTGCATTTACGCTAATACAGAGTTATCAAAATTAGCAGTTTTTTCGTGTAAACATGTAAAATGGAGAACAATTTATTGTACATGGAAAATAACAATCGAAAATTAGATTTTAATCTTTACTCTAAATAGGAATTGCAGCGGTCAAATCTTAAAATTCAAACATAAATCCTTACTTTTTATCTAAACATAATGTCAAGTGGTTTTTTTTTTAATATTTTTTCAGTGATTGAAGAAACACATTTTTATGCAAAACTTTAACCAATGTTTTTGAAATTTAAATCTCGCATACGAGTATTACATAATACCATTAAAATAAATCATAAAACTTTCCATATTATATGTTTTTTCTCTGTTTTTCCTATTGCGTATACAAGTTAACAACTATAATGACGTGGGAAACTGATCATTCTGTATTCCGTCCAAACGATGGGGTCGGCGATGACAACGGGACGTTTTTTTCTCTTTCTCGTATCGTGACCCTTTTAAGTCGTACAAGCCACAGCCTCCTCATGCAGACCCCATATATAATAAATACGATACATGATATACATATTATACTACGCCTACACTTAATATATATTGTTATATGTATAACGTGTGTGAGTGGATATTGACGACGCCGCGGCGGTGCCGAACATTTCCGGAATTGTGATGGAACTGTTTTTTTTTTCTTCATAACTTCACACCGGCCTTCGACCATAAGTTTAGAGAATCTATCCCGAACGCTAAATATAATCACCAAATTAGTTGAAAAAAAATCACATGAGTTCGTCTGTGGCGCAGTCAAAACACAGTATTATATTATTTTCACGGTTATTTTCACAAACATGAACGTCAATGTTTTGAGACTTTATTATAATTTATTATCTCCTGAATACACTCGTACTATTGTACAAGTAATAAAATTCTTGTACAATTCTGCGTAAGGCCTAGCCATACGGCCCATCTTGCATACATCTCCTGTGTAAATTAAATGTTGAAGAGCAATTTTGACGAAATACGTTGCGTTTGAATTGCTTTCCTTTACATCCACCCTTAATATATTTTTACCCATCACCGTTGCACACCCCCATCGCGTTGCACGGTTATTTACGAGGTTATTTGGGATCAATACATTTTCCCCGGCTAAAAGTCCATACCGAGGCGGTAATAGGTCGACGTGTGAGCTGCAGGTATATAATACGTGTATAATTAATGTATATATGTGTGTATTTTACGTACGACGGTCTCTAATTTTCCTACACCCGCGGTTATTTACGGCGTATCGAAAGCAGAAAAAAAGTTTAACAAAAATAATATACAATTTTTTTCGCTACTGTGTACTATAATAGCATACTAATATCGACGAGAAAACTCTGGCCAACTGATACAAATAAAATTAAAATACCAAAATAACACAACGCGGGTACAATGCGACGTGAGACAATTCGCCAATTCCGTTTATCACCCAGCAGTTATAAGTAGTATAAGATTTACTTCGCTCCTTTCAAAATAATACTAAATATACAATAATATTTTAATGCTATCTTAAATGTTTTTGATATTGACATTTTTAACGGTACTTGTTACTAAAACAGTCTAAAAAATCAATGAAGTCATAAAGCCGAAATAGCTCAGTTGGGAGAGCGTTAGACTGAAGATCTAAAGGTCCCTGGTTCGATCCCTGGTTTCGGCATTTACTTTTTGCATATTTTTCAAATTTATTATTCTGTTTTAACGTAGTCCTTCGATAAATAACATTTTCAATGTTATTTGTACGAGTGACACATTATTTGCTTTACGATCGTTCTTGTATTACAAATTTTATGAACGGAATAGTATTAAAAACAGTTTTTAAAAATTACAATACTCTTATACAGTACACAAATAAATGCCAAACCCTTTATTAATGATCACTTACGCATAAGAATTTACAAAACTAATGACCGAAAAATTGAATTTTGTGGTTTTCACGGTAATTGTTTTTCTATATTAAAATTATGTATAATAGATTAAATTTAAAATTTATTTTTCTTTTATATATTTATTTATTTGGATAAATACCTGGTAGGCTAATTTTCTATAATATTAGACTAAATCTTCTAAATGCGTGCTGTTGGTGTGTGCGACGAGTGACGAGATGAGTGAAGGTTTAAGACAAGGGCGGCCGACCCCAAATAGTTGGGAGAAAGGCGAAGGAGAAGAAGAAGAAGAATAGACTAAAACTTTGCTTGTACTTAAAACATTTCTAAAATCCACCATGCTTATATTATACTCGTATTTACTATATGATGAACAGTTACTGAGCAACTTGTAAAAGTTTAAAACAGAATATTTACGAGGAAGTTAGTGCCGTACCTATTATCGAATTAATTGGACGAACTATTGCTGACCTATACATTTATCGATCAGGCTTTTTTCGGAATTCTATAAGAGTAATAAAAAAATTTGAAAAACATGCGACGAGATACTAATGGTTCGGAAATATTTCCGAAAACACCGCTGTTGCCAAATATGCCATATATGCTCTTGGTCTTTTACGAAATTAAATTTCCGAGTTATTTATTACTCCGAATCCCCCGCAGTCATCATATTAATACAGTTCAGTATATTCGGATAAAAGTCGTAAACAACACGTGAAAGCGTGTAGGAAGATAGTGAAAACCGAAAATATCACAATTTTGATAATTGAAGATGGAATGTTTTGATCAACGGTTCTAAACCCAAAGCAATGTGTATGTACTTAACTCTGCGTATTCTTTAGTATTTTTCGTCGTAGGATTGATTTTCATTTTTGTCCAGTTTAAAGTTTTCCGCCATTCTTATCGTTTCTTAAAAATTGCATACTCGTTTGTTAATCGAATACTGTGAAAATGAAAATGTATTTCGAACTGAAATATTTTCTAGAGTATTATATTCGTAAACGTATAATTATGATCGGATAACACTAAGGAAAATAATATTTAAGATGAATATTTTTGAGCTACGCTACGCGTATTATATAATTATTAAGCACAGAATAGTACCACCGAGAATACGATATATTATCATATCTGATTTAATTTAGAACGGACGTCTTACGGTTTATACAATTTTTTTTACAAATCATAAGTGTTCAATAAAAAATGTTCATGCTCGAACGATATTATACTATAATTGCGTGTGTTTACTGTCGTTCTCCAAAGAAAAATTATGCGCTTTATCATAATACTATCACGTGGTTTACTCGAAAATGGTTGTGGAACAGAGATCATTAACATATTTTATCATAATTATAATATTCGTATTTGTGGTATGTATTTTGTCCTACGAACGTGTAAAAATAAATATAGCCTAACATAATATAGCCTAACTTATGTTCATACGCTGTGTACGGGTGTTACAGGAGAAGAGAATATGGCACCTGTTGACAAGTCGGCCGACGGATCGGATCCGGCCGACAAAACGGCAACAGAACTACCGAATTCGGCGACCAGCAACAAGTCGGTCGGCAGCATGGCGGCCCAGGGGCTCGACCAGTCAGGGAAACAGGGCACACCAGTGCTGCAAGACGGTTCTGGGATAGCCGAGTTGACAATGATTCCAAAATTAGAACCCACTCAAGTCTTAAGTGAGTATTATATAATCGTCAAACGGGTTCGACCTTATGTACACCGTTTATTAATTATTATCTTTGACAAAACAATAATACGATCTGACTGCGATGCGAATCAATTTCCGTGTCAATGAGTCGGAAAATAATTGATAACCGTCGTGTTTAGTCTGTCTCGAAAATCGTTCCTCGCCATGCTTGTATAGAATACGTTGTACGTTAGTTTTTATTTTTTTTTTTTGCCTGTTAAAATTATACTTGTATAAAAAGCTTTCACGTGAGTTTTTTCGGCGGAGCCCAGTATTTCCATGTGAATTCTAATTACATTAATGATAGTTAAATATTTAATTCGTTTTTTCTGACGACACAATTTATACAGGTGTATTACAAATACTATTTTATTTATGTTTAAAAATCGATTTATCTCAATCAAAAATGAGTTTTAAGTCATTGTCCATGAGTCGCGACCTAAAAGGAACTGTTATAGAATGGGGTTCTATTTTATTAAATTTTAAAAAATATTAAATGACGTACTGAGAATAAAACAAATAATTATTCACTTATAAACTGTATACAAAAATGTAATACAAGTACTCCTTAAAAATATGTTTTTAGAAATAAAAATTGAGTAATGTTTACTAAAAAAATTTTAAAAAACAATCTTACATTTAATATAAGATTGTTTTTTTTTAAAATTATATGTATCATTGACTACATATAATATCTATATATTTATTATTATAATAACACATTAAACATTACCATTAATCGAATAAAGATTGTGCACTATTTTGGATCCAAATTTAAATAAAAAAATACTCGAATGCCCTAAACGTACGCATATTGTAATCATTTACAATAGAAATGTATAGTTATATTTTTTCATCAAATTTTCAATAAAAAAACACCTATATGAATATTATTTTTTTTTTTTGCCTTAAAATCGTAAACAATTCCACAAATCGACCGTATAAATGAGAAATTAAGGTAAAAATATATATATATATTTAATATCTCGAAAGCAATAAAAACAGAATTTTTATGACTTTTGCACGACGGTTCAATAAATGTGAGGAAAAGGCAGTTTTCTGTAGAAATACGGTGACTTAGGTAAATCTTTATTTTGTGTAATATTATCGACGAGTCCATTGGTTCGCATAAATACCACTAGTACAGTATGAGAACATCCGATGATACCGTGAACCGTAAAATGTATACGCAATTGAAATTATATTTAACCAATTTGATGGTTCTTTACAAAAAATATTTGTGAAAAATGTTTCGTTCAAAATGAATAACATTTTTTTCGCTAAAATAAACTCATTTCCACCTAACAAAACGTATGCAAATATTTAAGTATAATTCTGAAATTAATAAAGTATAGTCTGGAATGAAACTGTTGTTGTTTTTGAAGCTTTATTTTGTTTTAGTTTTGAAAATTTCGAATTGCAAACATTATAATATGACTGTGAAATAATAATTTAGAAAAATTTGTTTGAAAAAAAAAACGTTTTGAAAATAAAAATTCTTTACTCTAAGTCTCGTTGAATAGAGATTTGAATGTGTGTAGTGATGTAGCGGTGGCGTACGTAGAGGTAGGTTACGGGCTGAAGCCACCCTTGCCCATATTTTTTTTTTTTTTTTTTCATATTTATCTACAATTTAAGATAGTATCATAAAATCACGGTTATATATGTGTAAATGGCCATGCTTAAAATTGTAATCATGTATTTATCTAATTATTGCAATTTATAACCCAAGTCTATAGACATATATGATTAAAACTGAACTGATATTACCGACAATAACAGCATCGTTGGGTTATTTCTTCAGCTACACCAGAGAAAATTTTCAACATTGAAACATACTTAAGATCAACCATAACAAGAGAACGTTTTAATAGATTAGGTATAGCAAATATCAACAAAAAAAACTAACCAAATTTGAATTTCAAGAAACATTTTGAATAACCTCACCTATTACAGTTATTAGAAATTTTTTACAAATAAAACGGGAAATTGGAAAGGAATCGTTTTAGCGCTACTGCCCCTCATGCGCATCGTTTATTTTAATAAGAATAATTGTAGTACAATATATGCACCTTATATTTCATACAAATAATTGCATAAAAATAAAAGGGCTCTAAACTCTTCAATTTTAATTTTCGATGCAAAATGTATTTACTTGGCTATATTTTTTTGTCTTCATGTTTCTCCTCTTTTGATCTACCTCTTCATTTCCTCTTCATGATCTTCACACCTAGTTTCACTATTCTTCTCCAGTTCCCCATTGATTTTAACATGACTTCTATAACGTTGTCCGCTGTTGACCTCTTCGCTTGTATACACTTCCATCTTTATGAGAGCAGTATGCTATGCATCGCATTCAAGTACAGAATTATTCGCCATGTTTGAGGTGAATTCACATAGTTGACATGTATTAGTCTCTCTTCACTTAAATTGTTGAAGGTATTCCCTGAAAATGCCATACCCTGGCAAAAACTGGGCTAGGAGGTAGTTTATTTCTCCATGTTTGCGTTCTATCCCTCTGTTAATGTTTGACGTTAATTGTTAGGTCCAACATGTAACAACAATTTATTGGAATAAATACTTTACTGTAACAACTTACCCATGTAGCAACTAATTCCGCTCTTCCCTATCCGTGTTATCTGGTTATATCAAAAGCCTTCGCTGATATGTCATTCGTGTGTTCCTTGAATAGTTGCTTCTGGTCCATAATAATTACCAAGTATTTAACACTCCATTCAGATTCAATTACTGTACTACCGTACCTTACACTTATTCTATTTCTAACTAAAATTGTAGACTGGACTTTGAAATAAAAATTTTATTTTGTTTCTATTATTTTTATAATTATATTTTTATGTTAATTTTTTATATTTTATGCTGAATATAAGTAAAAACTAAGCAAGCTTCATCTTCATTTTTTAAACTTAATCTTGTTGACAATTGTGTAATTATTTATTTTCAAATCCCCCTTCCCCATATTGAAAAACCCTGCATATTCCATATAATATGCATATTCCGTATGTATGTATATTATTTGATTTGCAACCCAAAATTTAACATATTATTATTGTGTATCGCATAGGCGTGTCCAGATATTTTGATAGCAGGTCACGCACTACAAAAATATACAAACGCGACACTGGGTTACCAAAAGCGAACTAAAATATGATCTTTAAATTTTGAAAAAAATCATTATTACCTTATAATAAATATACGAATATAATTATAGACGTTCTTAACACTCCTGCTATAATTCTAATCGACGTTTTGTCGGAAACACAACTTTAAACTATCATATTAATTGATAATACAATTAAAGTCAATTATTACAGGTCGTGCTTGTGCATGAGAGGCACGACCCGTCTGTAGCCTATTATATACTATCGGGTACCATGTTTCAATCGACGAACAAAACTTGTCTAACCTCACGGAATAATACTCAGATCACATTATATATGCGTGCGCGTAAGATTCGATACATATTCACTCATATACTTTATTCGGTCGGATTTGTGTTTTGTCCTTCAGAAACAAAACTCTCGGACAAAGATTTGAGGACGCCGACCCTGCCGTTCATCACGTCCACGCCCAACACGCTGAGTCCAACGGAAAGTTCGGAAATGCCACCATGGGCGTCTTGGTCAATAATAATAGGTCGGTATACATTAACTGTAACATATATATATAATAACACGCGTAGTATAAATAGTATTGTTGTAAGTACTGTGTTTTTTTGATAAATAAATGTTTTATCGCTCTCTACGATCGGTTGTGCAGCGGTAATGTTGCTCGCCGTTGGATTCGTGGGCTTCTGCATACACAGATTCTTCAGGAAGCGGAGAACAAAAGATGGGAAGAAAGGCAAAGGCGTCGTAGATCTAAAGGCTGTCCAACTCCTGGGTTCGGCCTACAAAGAAAAAGTAAGAGTTCGCATGTATATCACGCGGTGGTCACCGCCACGACGTGGATGGTGTGATATATTATTATCATAGCGATCGCGAGCCGTTGTGATGTCTCGTGTCGAAACGATCGACGTGGTACAATGTTTTCATAATGAAATCGAATAGCAAACGGATATGATATCATCGACGCAAGATTTATCTCGTCGTAGTGTTCATTACAGTTTTTTTTTTTTTTCGTAACGTGTCCGAAGATAATAAATTATGTATAGCAAACGGTTTCCTTCGGCATTGTTCGTTTTTTTCGAAACGTTCGCACTATAACAATGTAATGCGATATACGACAGTAATCCATTAAGTGTACAACAATGTTTCGTTTTCCGGACTAAATTACCGTTAAATCCGACACCGACAAATGTAACCATGTGGTTCGGTCGATCGGAGACGAATATTTTTCGCGGCACGGTGCCGTGAACCCGAACGTGAAGAGTGAACCCGTCTCAACAATAATCATCGGTTTTGTATGATGATAATAATGCACGTAACACGACTGCGATGGCCACGCGAACGTCGCTGTCCGGGTGGAAACGTCATTGATCACGGTTTTTCTTTACAGATACAACCAGACATGGAAGAACTGACTGATAACGCGGAGGAGATCGCGGAAGAAGGAGACAGTACGAAAGACGAGAAAAAATTGGGAAGGTTACAGTTCAAGGTGCGCATCGCATATTATCATCGTAATGTTAAAACACTATATAAGTCTAGGTAAAAGTGTCCGCGTAAAAAATGAAATCAACGGAATATTTCATCTCATCGTATGTATTCAAAAATAACCTTAAGCATAAGTGTTCAGGAAAATGTTTTCTCCGTCATTTTTTCCGTAGCCATTTTCGCAAGCGAACGTTATCACCAACCCATATAGGACAAAGAGCATATATCCTCTGATGCTTAGCAATAATAACAATAATGCGCTCGTATGTGTTACAGATGGAATACGATTTTCAAGGCAACACTCTGTCCGTGACCGTGATTCAAGCGGAGGACTTGCCGGCCCTGGACATGGGCGGTACTTCGGACCCGTACGTAAAGGTGTACTTGTTGCCGGACAAGAAGAAGAAGTTCGAGACCAAAGTGCACAGAAAAACGCTGAACCCCGTATTCAACGAAACGTTCCAGTTCAAGGTAGAATAGGCTGTGGACCGCTGCAACGGTGGTTCCCGATTCGCTCGCGGCTAAAAATCAAATCCGCCGCGACCGAGGATCGCATTTTTTGTCGCACACGTTTGCGGTGGAGTGACACGGTCACGAAAATGAACTCGGCTCGCGGGGGTGTACGCGTAACCGCGAGGGGGCGCGAGATTGCACCGCGAACGTGTTTTCATCCGGGAAAAAAAGGCAGATTTTTCAAGTTTAACCGGGGTTACCGCGCTAGCGATAGACTATTTCTACGTGTCGCTGATCGGGGAACCGCCGTTGCTGCGGACGATTTACGCGATTCGCACGAGCCACAACTCGGAGTAACGTACCCGCGACCGTCGCCGGTGTAAAGACCTAACCATACACACGACTGGACCTATAGTAACACGCGCGTTGTGTGATTGCGTTTTCAGGGCATACCCTACGCGGACGCGATGAACAAGACCCTGGTGTTCGCCATTTTCGATTTCGACCGGTTTTCCAAGCACGATCAGATTGGCGAGGTGAAGGTGCCGTTGTGCCAGATCGATTTGGCCCAGACCATCGAGGAGTGGAGGGAGTTGCAGTCCGTCGAAGGGGAAGGAGGACAGGTCAGTAATCGAAAACAATCGTGGAGAGCTCGTGGCGTCCAACATAATTTGTTCGTTCGACAACGGACCAATTTTATACTATACATATATACACCATGTTAATATTGTTGTGCTAACCATGTATGCAGTTACCGTGCATACTACACCTCACCATATATAGATCGTTACCTTAAGGATACGCGATTTCACCGAGATCCGTCTGGTTGTTCGGCCGCTTGGGAGTTCATTCAAACGTGAGCGGCGGATAGAGTTGTCTTAGAAAAATGCGTACCGCTAGCAACAACAGTTATGGTTGTCCCAACACCGTATTGTCGCGTACAATATGCCGCCGTAAATGCAAATGTTCTATATTTGTGTGAACTACCGTTGCGAACTCTTACATGCACCTACTTTTTACCTAGGCATTTTCATCCGTCGGCTTACAATAATAATAACATCATAAAATAATATTTTTGTCTGTGTAATATTCGTATTGTACGCGTATAACGTTACGTATAGGTATACGATGTTTTGCTAAAGCTGGGTGAGAAGGAGGAGACTACTTGATTTTGATTTTTTTTTTTTTTTTTCATATAGATAATACTAGTTTTTTCACAATCAAACTTTGTTTTACTATTTTACTGTTTGAACATTTATTCGTAATTTTTACTTGATATATTATATTCATTGGTTAAATTTAGGTGCAATGATTTTCGTATAAAACGAGCATGCAATACTTTTCTATTCTATGTATAAATATATTATTACACAAACAACACACACACATACGCACATGCGAGCTCGCGCGCGCACACACACACACACACACACACACACACACAAACACATACATACGTTTATAAATATATATATATATATATAATATATATGTATGGTGTCTATAAGTTTATATAGTAAATACATTTTATGATTAATGTATACCTATGATTCATATACTTTGTACATATATTATTTATTTTTTTTTAAATATATATATTTTATTAAATACACGTATACATTTATATATATATATATATATATATATATTTATATATTACTATATTTTATTTCTTCTTTACATCTACATTTTTTCATATTATTATTATCTATTGTTGTTCGCAAGCATTGTATTTTGTTATTTTTTTCTGTTTGTATTGTTTTGGTTTGAATACAAAAAATCGACCCGATTTTTGTTGGAACACGGTGCACCACGAAAACCAACAATGTAAAAAATATATACTCACGTAAGTACGACGGCCTTCTCAGCCGAAATATAGCCCTGTGTCATACCAAAATGTGTGCTGTGTCTCGTGTTTTTGTGGTGTTCTGCTAATATTATAATTTATTTGTTTATGATTTATTTATTTTTACATCAGTTTTAATACCCTAACAACCCTTTGTTTTCAATGTTCTAGGAATATTTATTTGTTTGTTTATTTTTTTTAGACATTCTTGCGTTTGACAGTTTTTGTCGTTGAGATAAAATTGACGTGACTTTTTCACGGTCTTTTTTTCGCTCCATCCGTTGACGGTTAGCGTTAACGTTTTTTTTTTTTTTATAATTAACATTAATATTGTTGTGGTCAAGTGACGCGGACGCAGGATTGGTATCATCAACGGTCTCTATAAGATCAATCACCGCACCTCGGCTCCCAATAAATCGCCGCCGTATTCCGACTGTTTTCTCGTTCTCGATTCGTTTGTCAACAGATTACTCCGTGCATCGTCCGGTTTATCCAATTCGTTTTCGTTCGTGCATGCACATAATAATTACGTAAATAATTATATAATTATTATTTATGCATTTATAGTGTACGTGCGCGTTTGTTTCTCGACCAATCACGCGAACACGATGTGGGACGCACTCTTCAGACATAATATACGCAACGTTTACGCGTAAAATATTATATGTTATATACGTTCACGCCCATCAAATTTCGTATAAAATGTGACACGGAATTATACCCTTAGACTTACCGGTGTTACTTATAAGTGTTATGGTCAATATATATTTCGTATTGACAACGTACAGATTCCGATTTATTCCGACAAACTTTTTTAAGTTCTTTTGGTCCATCTTAAGCAGCTAAGCTGTATCGATTTAAACAGTTTGTTCAAACTTTGACCAGCGTAATATCAGATCCGATAAAGGGGATCGTATTAATTCGTAGTCACTATACCTGAGTTCCACTCGAGCTTATCCACTGGCCGTGAACGTGTAAAACGTACAGATACGCTTAAGAACAGTTTTAACTTCTAAATTGTAACTGTTGCTGTTATACTTGTAATACAATGTATGTAAATTGTATTCGTATGAAGCATCGCGGTTCTACATCACCGTTCACACCCAGAAACCAACCAAGTGCGCGTGTTTCGAAATTATAATGATTTTAATTAAACAACGCGATATAAATATATGCACATGTATTACATAACAGTAAAACGCGCCCTATGAATGTACTTTATTCAATGCCATTCGTGTGTTCGACCTTTGAAATACCAATGTGCCGAGTGCGTCGCTATTATGGTTTATACAGTAGTAGCCCTCTGAAATTATGCAAATTTTCACGTATACGTATAATATATATATATATAAATATATGTATTGTTATAATATAATGTTTATGTTTTTTTTTTATTAATATAATTACATATATAGTTACTACTACTCAACAACTACGTATACATAGTTATTGAGTAACATATGAGTACAAAAACATTGGTATGATTATGATATGATTGTTTTAGATTTTATTAGGTTCGGAGTATTGAACATGATTATTAGCATAGGATATATATTGTATATGTATATATCTAGTGTTGTAGGCATTTGACGCTAAAAATACATACATATATTATAACACACCGATGAACCGTACAACGCTCGATTTTGTTCATACGATGTCTTCAACTCGTAAAATATTATACCAAGATTACCGTGTAATACTAGCTCAAGTGCCGTATCGTTAAACGTGTTTAAAAGATACAATCGTTTTATAGATTCGATCCGTTATCGGTTCTCGTTTGATTTGAATCGCGATGCACGAGACCGCGAGGAATAAAAGTAAAATGTAATACGTGTGATTAATATTTTACGATGGAGCGCGATATCGTATCGACAAAACCTGGACGCTAACACCCAAGGAGCAAACGTGTGAATAGTATTATCTACGGAATACGTTTTAACCAATAGCCTAAATATATATTTATAGTTACGTAAACACATAGTTAATATTTATTTTTGTATTTTTACGTAAAAATTACTATCATATAGGTAGAACAAGCGGTACTAGACCTTTTTATAATATGCATAGCGTAGAATACTGAAACACTTAGGTGTATAGTGGAGACTTAGATGATTTTATATTCCATTTAAGTGCTGAAAACCTATTATATAAATATATATATATCATATAATAATAATACTAATGATATCGTATTAGATTGGAAATGCACACACATATAGTGGCACAAATCATTAATATTGGAACATGCTATATTACCTAGTACAAGTTCCCGTGTATAAAATCGATTAAATTTTGTTTTTAGAAAATTGGATTATTTTTTGTTTTTTTTTCGATTATCAGTTTTAACGAACGCGAAATACGCCTCGATATTAAAACCTGTTTTTTCTTTTGCCGTTTTTCAGGATAACAAGCTGGGAGACATTTGTTTCTCGTTGCGTTACGTGCCTACCGCCGGAAAACTGACAGTGGTAATATTGGAAGCTAAAAACTTAAAGAAAATGGACGTCGGTGGACTCTCAGGTAAATACAATCGTTTGATGGACTATACCGATGTACAAAAGTCCCCGGCATTTGAGCTGAAAAAAATTACTATTATTATTACAACTATCGTCCGTTCGTTCGGTTTATAGATCCGTACGTGAAGATCGCGCTGATGCAAAATGGAAAACGGCTAAAGAAAAAGAAAACTAGTATAAAGAAGTGTACCCTCAATCCGTACTACAACGAATCGTTTACATTCGAAGTCCCATTCGAACAGATACAGGTAAATTGAATTGATTTTTATCAAAATATACTGTCGTGTGCTCTTTCACTTGTATATATACAATAAATGAAATGCGAACAATCAAGTTATCGCACCAAATAACGTACGATTCGTGGTATCCGACAAAGTTAAAAAGTGTGCTTCTTTATTATATCTTTGGAAGTATAAATTAGTCCACTCGATCACAATTATTTTGTCGAGAGCAATGATACATTGGTTTCAACTTCAAAAGACCAATACAGCAATACCATTTACTAATTCTTAGGATTCTTTCCTTTTTTTAAACTTGTGGTAAAAATAATATAATTTAATATCATATTGCGTCTACAAAAGTGTATTTAGTCTGGGTTTGATTTTCAATTTGATTCGAATCGCTAGCTTAACTTACAAATTACTTTCTCATAATTATATAACAATGCAACAACCCAAGTATTTTCTATTATAAATTACTTCAAAGACTATTAAATTCAAACAAAAAAAAATCATGAATCGCGCGCTATTTATAATAAAAATAAAAAAATACAACTTCCCTCACAGAGTAAACATTCGATCGTTAGTTATAATATTTACAGATAATATAATATATAATATTTGCATATTATGATTATCCCTTAAACTGAACGCAAAAAATGAAAGCGAAAAGTTTTTATTTTACTCTTTGTAAATCGTTGATCGATTGAGGATGTATAGTATAAATAAAATGTTATAGTTGTGTATGCATGTACCGAAATAAATTGGAATTCGAAATCATGTCGTTTTCGATGGATTCGAAATATTTGAATATTCACTCGAAATTGTGTAAACGTATAATGCCGTAGAATAAATTATGACGTTATAGCGAAACGAATATCTCCTATATCATTATTGTTATCACTGACGTAATATTTTGACGTATCTTTTGTCCGTCGTAGCAAACTTTGATGATTTTAATTAAACTAAATGTGACCTTGTGTAGTGGTGAAAAAAAAATTGTCTCATATTTTCGGTATTAAAAAAAAGTTTTCACGTTTTTCTTTAAACTATTTAAACTGTTTACTGTATGCCCGTGTACGTACAGCAACAATTTAAGCAAAAATAATGCAGTTTGACCGGTAAATTAACTAACTTTCAGCTTATTGCAGGCCGAAAGTAAAAATGTTATTGATAGAAAAAATTGTGTTCTCATGAAATAAGACGATAATATTTAGACTTCTGCGGGAGAAAGATTTGACGTCAACTACACATACACTAAATATAATCATGTCCTATATTCACTCCGGTGATAGCTGAATACCGTCTAAATTCTGTATATGTTCTATGTACTTAGCTCACCCCGTACGCAGTGTAATACGTAACTGATAAAATATGCAATATCTTTCTATTTTTTATTCTCGTACTCAATCAACAACAGCAGATTCGTTGTATGTAACTCATCGAAGTGTCTCTACAGCGGATTTAAATAAACGTTAATTTATATCGCATCATATCACTCTTGGCTTGTATGATTAATTATATTATCGTCGAAATCATTGTTGTATTTGCTGATTGTTTGCTTCCAGTCGTCTTATTTCTCAAACCGTTTAAATTTTATTGATCAATCACCATTTGTGAATTCTTTAACATTATCATGGCTAGAACATATTTTTTAAAGAGAAATTTATTTAAAAAAAAAAAACAGTTCCGTTAGCGAATTCTGATTCTGAAGGTGGTAGAAAACCAAAACTTGTATTCTGTTTTATCTATAGAAAAATGGTACGAAAACGTAGCCGATAAAATGTATAAAAAAATAACAACAATGTATTACATTTGAACCCACAGATAATTCATTGAAGATTATTAAAAACGTCCCTACAATATCAACGCGTGAATAAAATATAAAATATTTAGTAGTTTTTTTTCATACAGCTCGTGATGATTTTTCAAATCGGAACAGATCGTGCAGGGTGTACAATTTCATAATCCAGACAGGAACTTTTATATTTTATCTATTACATTGTTGCTATCGGAAATGCATAACAATCTCTTATAAATTATCTATGCGTAAGATTGTGCTTTGTCGTTCGCGTTATGAGTTTCTTAAAAATACATATACACGAATCACTCACGGTTTTCATATCTTGATTTTAATTACTGTCCCTCGAACTTGCAGAAAGTCAACCTGGTAGTGACGGTCGTCGACTACGATCGCATCGGCACGTCCGAGCCCATCGGCAAAGTGGTACTGGGCTACAACGCAACCGGTACCGAACTGAGACACTGGTCCGACATGTTGGCATCGCCGAGGCGTCCGATCGCGCAGTGGCACACGCTAAAGGATCCGGACGACGACGCCAAAAACTAAGCCGCAAAACAACCACCACCGTCGCCACACCATCACCACCGCCGCTGCTGCCACCGACCGATGATGAATAAAAAAAACATCGTCGACACACCACATAATATACCTCCTACCCTAAGTCATCGCCGTCGTCATTGCGCGCAAACGTGCCGTCCCGGTCGGACGCGCGCGCAATAATGATAATAAAATCGTAATATCATAAAAGAAAAAAAAACATAATTTCCAAAACATAATCGTCATACATATAGTTTAGTAATGATTTCTAAAATAATACGCGAACAACACGGTTGTATATTACCATGATATCCGCGATGCGTACACAATGACAATTGTACAGCGATAAGAGCAGAAACAAAGCAAAAACAATTTCCGTTTATATTTCGTTTTATAAAAATATTCTCTCTCTATCTCTTCCCGAGTCGCGCGTGCCTACTACCTCATCGACATGTTCACGTAACGCGTTTAAATCACTCGTAATAATAATACGCAACAACAATTGTATCGTACTAACCGCAGCAGCGTGCAAAGGACCCTTTCGTCGTCGTTCCGCGCATCCGTTTTGTTTCGTCGTACCCCAGAAAACTATGTTTATTTGTCCGTCGTTTGTCGTAATCATTATTATTATTATTGGTTCATACTAGAAATGTCGAAAACGTCGTTACTCCGCTACGCGTGGCGAGAGACGATATTTTCGATATTTTAAAGAAAAAAGGACGTCGGAATAACGATTATTATTATTATTATTATTATTACCGTATTACGCGATGTTATTTTAATGATATGCTCTGATTACTTATGTCTTCTCCGTGTTATTGTATTACAATATATATATAATTATACACACACGATGTAATAAACGTGTGTATACAGGGTGTTTCGAGTTGTAAATGGTACGCTACATCAATGTTGAGGGTTGTTTACAGACCTTACCAGCAATACATTTTACAAGTAAATCAATTGTACATCTTCGACCGTAGAAAAATGCAGTTACATCTGATGTCAATAATAATACTACGCAACAATTTTATTCGCCCGTTACGTAACGTAGACATAATGTTTTCGGGATATTTCATATTCAGTCGTCACGTTACATTTGAAAGGCCCCGTATACACATTTCCCACAGTTATACATAATCGTGCGTGTTTACGAATACATTTATAACAGTTTATGGTATACCTACTCATATCGTCTTATTATGGTTTTTCTTTCATTTTTTTTTTTTTTTTTTTTAACGGACATTACTGTCTATAATATAATATGTTTATTATATTATTATCTTCGTTAACCCCAGCGGGTGTTGTTCTAAGCCACTGTTATTCGCTTCGTGTAAACGTATTATGTAGTTTTTAAAACACCTAGTTCAGAACATAATACAATATATTATTATATACTATAATATTATTATAAGTTCTCTGTGTAAATACCATTTTACCACCATTATTATTATTATTATTATTACGTTTTGTTTGGTCGGATAGATTTAACACGTTATTATAATAGTCTTCGTTATTTAATTGTAATAATATTATTGTTATCCTCGGAAAGACCGAAGGGGTGCGTTTATTAACAAATTGGAACAACAGTTATTATTATATAATCTTAAAAAGAAAAAAAATTACCTATTACTTCATTTCTAGTTAAAATATAACGATATACTTATATTATATCCTAGACAAAACGTTAAATCGACATTTTTGATAGGCGCATGTTTCTTGTTAATCTCTTTTATACTTATTCTCTATTATAATTTACCATTACTTCGAAAAAAAATAAAGTTATAAAAAATGAAGATAATAATAATAACAATAATATAACTTTTAGTATAAAAAAATAACTATTAAATTATATTCATAAAGAAATGTACTATTTATCTTGTTATTGTTACTTATTTATGTAAAATATTGTAATATATTCGAATAATATTATTAGGTATACTTAAAATGATATATTTAAAAAACGAAATAAAATTGATTAAAAAAAAAAAAAAAAAAAAAGCGTAGAGCGGGAATAAAATGTTACATTTCTGATCGTACATAACATATAAAGCCTGAGTTCTTGTTTGTTGTACTTGTTGTTACTCTCGTATTTCCTCTTATTTTTCACTGGTAGCGCAAATAGTAAATATTTTAAAGAATATAATATACTGAAAAATAGCCGGTATACCTTCATTTAACGAATATCAATACCACGTTACTCTTTCACTTTCTTTCGGATTTCGCTCTAAAAAAAAAACAACTACATGGAATTATTATATTACAGCAAAACGTAACGTTTTCATTTTGTTCGGCCGAAATAACATAATATGTATAAATTGTTGACGAAAGTTAATCGCGTCATTTTTTTAACGTAATTCTATACTATTACGAGAGAGGCTTTGCAGCAATGCCGTTTTAACGGGACTAATTTTTATCGAAAAACGAAAAATATACATGCATAACTTATGTGTAAGTATAAGAATAAAATATTATGTAAAATTAATTTCATGAGATAAGTTCTAAAATGCATAATATATATAATTTTGTTCCTGAACGTATTTCGAAATGTCTAGTTAACAACTGATAAATACAGTATTGGTTAAGAATATATTGTTTATTATTTTATAACAATTGACTATATTATTTTTTTTTTTTTTTTTTCGTAAGATATCCCAAAAATGTGTTGTAATTTTTGGTTTAAAAAACCGTAAACAAAAATATGTATAATACTATAATGTTGGATCAATGTAATAATATGTTAATTAGCGCGTTAGAGTATTACACATTAATATACAAATAAACAAATACCTATATATTATATATGTATACATACGTCGTTAAAACGTATAAGAAATTATTAATTTCTAACTGTCTAACACCAATATCAATTTCAAATTTTCTGAGAATAGCTCTAATCGAATCCACCAAAACATTCTCCCGCATATTGGTACGTTCACGCACGTTAATTTATTTACAGATGTTATGTACAGAATTCACATGTTAAAAACTCAAAAATATCAATATTACACCCGTAAAATAATGTGTAGTTAAAAACCAAGAGTACCTACCCAATACATGTACGTTATCACACGTTTTACGAGCCAGAAAAACAATTCACATTATTCATTAGCTATTTTACCCACCGCGGCGAAAAACTAAGAATAAATAAATACGTACTTTAAAAGTGTTTTCAAGTGCAATATCATCTGACGTTCGTATTGAGTATACGTATCTATACATATTATTAATATTATTATTATTATTATTATTATTATTATTATTATTATGAACAATATTATCTTTATGATTTATATTATTATTATTATGATTTCGTTATTGTCTAAATCACACATATCAGTTGTTTTACGATTAGTTCGTGTATATTGTTTAATTGACCATTATTATATTGTTTTTCCGTCGGTGTTTCCCCCTCGGAAACGGCAGTGGACCCTCTATGTGTAGCCGTTTGATAAAAATCTGGTAAATACACGAGTGTGAAGCGTTGTCGTTTGAGGACTGCCTGTTCCGCGTCTATATTTGTTGTCGATGTGAACTAAATACTTAATAATATAATATAGCTAAACATTTTATTAGTAAGACAATAAAACTTTTAAAGAAAAAAAAAACACCAACAGAATCTTAATATGTACTACGTGATATGTGATATTGTATAACTTGCGCTTGAAAAGCATAAAACAAATATGTAGGTATGTACACATACGCACGGTAAAACGTTCATCGACCGTGTTCATTATTCTGAAAAATTGTATGTACCAAAAATGTAAAGGCATAGGCGCGCATGTATTATGTACGTAAGTTAAAGATGGTAAATAATGTTAATTTAATAAACAATGCGTGGACTATATATTATTAACCGATTTGTGGAAATATTTGATATGCTCCCAAACTTCTGCGAACAGGAAACGTTGACTTCCACGATGTCATGAGCTCAAGAGAAATTAGAAGTGAAATAAGAAAAATAAATTTAAACCGCGAAAAACAAAGACCCATTGTTTCAAATAGTAAGCCCTGATGATTTTAACTTTTTTTTTTAAAATTCGTTAAAATTTCGAAGGGCGGAGTTGAATACTCAAAATCTTCCTCTAGATACGCCCCGACGCAGGTAAAAATGAAACATTTTGGTCTTAAAACTGTAATCTGAAGTGTCAGAAAAAAATAATAATAACAACGTATGGTTTGAAAAGCGACTTGACCAGGTCACTTTATTACGAGTATACGAGAAACTCGTCTCGGAATCGGTAATTTATTTTATACAACAGTCGTGTTTTTAAGAACGGCAAGAAGAAAGTACAAAAACAATGTAAGTATTTTTCAATATTTTAATATCGCGCTAAAGTTATTAAATTCGAGTTACTCTCAGTAATGTGTCGTCCGGTGGCGCTGAACTTGAGATTCAGTTCTGATCATGATCAGATGAATATTTTAGGGTGTTGGGCGGCGCCGTGGTGGATTGGTATACGAGGAATAACTGAATGAATCCGATTAACTATAAATTATAAGACCGTCAATTTGATAATTATTATTTAAGACGTTTAAGTACCTAAATGCTAAAGCAAGTCAAACATTTTCGGGAGGAAGTGAACTCTCGATCCTTTAAATGTTATTGTACATGTTATTATAATTATATGTGGTATAAGAACAAAAATAATTAAAATTTAATATTAATTCAAAAATATAACGTCAGCGCACAGACAACATTACGAATTGCAGATAAGGAAAATATTAGAAACGCAAATAATTACGAGACGAATAATCTATTAAATATTTTATTATAAAAAAAAAACATAGACCAAAGGGTTGGGGCGATACAGCTATCAACCCCTTTATAATCACCACTGTCCGCATTGCCTACGCCTACACATCCCCATCTATACATTTACATAGAGACAACATTTTTCACTACTTACCACTAAAGATTCAGTTTTAAAACTAAAATATGAAAAAGCGCGATTTTGTGAAACAAATTTTAATTTTGGATGTTCCTAAGTAAAGCGAAATTCATAATGCACAGAATGATAAGAATTGTCAACCTTAATAATTATAATGAGATTATAGACATAAGTGATTAGATTTTACCTCAATCTCAAATACAACATTCTGAAATAAATTATTTTCAATTTAGGAGGGAAACGGAAATATTTAAGGGAGTTAAGTCCTGTCTCTAGTTGCACTTTATGGTCGTCTAATGTGAATTAATTGTAATCTCTTTTCAAACACTAGCAAAGAATTTGAACATTGAAAAAATGTTAATACATACTGTTGATATTTGGGTCAATAATGAATGTTTTTTATACAACATGGTTAACCTACAACTTGACTTGATTATTACTTGAATTTCCAGAAAATATCAATGATTTTGGCTAGTCAATAGACAGTCAAAATGTATTCAATCAATACTCGTTAGATTAACATAAAATAATATATTTATAGTCTGGTACGTTTGTATAAACATTATTTTATCAGACAAATGGTTTAAGATACACCCAATATTTCAAATTAAGGAAAAATAAATGCTAATGAGAATCACAGATTCAGTTGTTTAGATTTGGATAAGCTTAAGAAAATAAAAATCATATTTTAAAATGTTTATAACAATAGATAACACAACATTTTATGATGTTTAATATTACTTTGTTTCGTACACTATTTTTAGGAATTTTAATTGTTTACTTTATTTAAAAAAAAAAAAATTAAATTATAATAATAATTATAATACAACAACACATTAATGAAAAATCTACTACTATATAAACTTGGAAACAAATAGTTTATACTTTTGCTACTTTTTCATCATCACTGGAATCACTGGAATCACTGGAGTCGCTATGTATTTCTGGATCCTTTAATTTTGTCTTCTAAATAAACATAAAATATAACATACATTATAGTTTTTTAGTATCAACAAATAAATATATAACAGTACATAATAGTATAATAGTAGTAATAATAAATAATAGTATAATATATAATAACATAATCAACTACAAGAATTATTACAATGTAAATTCAAGAGCCTAACAAAAGGATTTTTCAAATAATTAAATTATAAAAAAAACTTCAAGTTTATTCATTGATATTAAATAAAAAAAGTAGTTATAAATTATACTAATTTAAAAAATTTTCAGTAGATTGACACGACTAAAACTTCCTCGGAAATGATACATATCATTCAAATTATTTATCACAAAACTATAAGAAAAAAATCTCATTCGGCCAAACACTCCTTGTATTAAAGATAGAGGAAGTATTTCTAGCTTGAAAAAATTTGGTTAATAATAAAACTTGCAAATAAATGTTTGATCTACGAATATTATATAAAACTAGCTGACCCGACAAAAGTTGTTTTGTCATATAGAGAATATTTTGCTAGAAAAAAACAACTAATTTAATATAAGTGTGAAAGAATGTGATGTATAAGTGGAAGAGGTATGGAGTGCTGTAAACGGCGACGGAATATAAAAATGGAAAAACATCAAACATTTATTTTTTTAATAATTTATTAAAATTGATCCTTTAAAATTATATATATATTAGTAAAAAACAATATATCAATCCCTTAATGCAACATAGTGTAAAATATTTTTTGCTATCCCATCTTTTGCCAACACAAACAAACTGGATGGTTCGAGAGCACATCACGTATATTGTCCGTGTGAAAAACATGATGATGTGCTCAAACCTAAGCCACAGACAGACATCATTTGGCCTTGAGACTTATTGACAGTCATTGCAAATGCAAATCTAATTGGAAATTGAAGGTGTTTAAATTGTATTGGCACATCTGTGGGTATAATAGGGATTCACGATAATAATATATTTTCACATCGGAATTTGCCATTTAAAATGATGGCTCCCATAACATTTTTATTAATTTTTTAATAGCTAATCGCGTGCCGTTTCACAACCGTGGTGGGTTCAAATTACGAAGCAAAATAACCGGAGATCCAAACTTCAGTTGTAAATTATGCGGTGGCTTGCCTGGTAAATCCAATAAGTTTAAAAACTCTGTAGGATAATTTACAGCTTCAATAGCATCGCAAACTGTATCAATAGATTTGTATAACACCAAGTCTCCTGGTAACAAATGTTGTATCTTGAGATTTAATTCGTTGACGTCCACATTTTTCGCTGCTAAAATTGCTCCTTCTGCCAGCCACTCATGATTTGTGTATTGTCTATGTACATTGATAAATATCTGGTCAATGAGAGCATCTTGCGAATCAATGATTGTACAGAAATTGGTCGGTAATTGTATGCATCCCGTTTCATCTGTAGTAACTTTCCCACCACCGATATCTAACAATTGTTTTGAGAATCTTCCACACGCAACTTTTTTGGATTGAATCGCAAGTATCGAAATCGTTCGCTCTCTATCTTTACATATATGTCGACCATGAATTGTTGATAAAGTTCACGACATCGTAGAATAACGTTGTCCTGATCGCGTCTAATCATCAACTGATATGCATAATAATCCTTCAAACTAACATTCTTGTTTGTTTTGGCACCTGTTGCGGGATCTTGTAGTTTAATATTTATGCAATACCCGTCATGTAATACCAAAAATAAAATTAATATTTTTTAAATAGTTTTTAATAGTTTTTTAATCGTTTCATTTAATAATTCATTTTCAATTGTGCAGTTATTGACCGGGTCAAAAATTATTAAATTAAACTACGATTTATTAAACAATAGAACTTTTCCAAAATTTTTTTCCGTAAAAACCTTCTCCTGGCAATTACGAACAATTAAAAAAAATTTGAGCCAAATCGGTCCAGCCGTTCTCAATTGATGAAATGTTATACATTTTTGGTACAATTAACTTTTGAAATAAAATCTTTTAATTTTTAATTTATTTAATTATTATTTTATAGTTTCTATGATGAAAAATTATTTACACTAATTATACAATTTTTTTTTAAACACAATAATTAATGTTGTTTAAAATTTAAAAGATCAATGGATAAAAAATGTATCAAATCAAAATATCTTTACCTCAAATTTAATACTTAGTCAACATAGAATAATTATTGAATTTAATGAAAATTCAATGTCATCATATCTTATCAAAATTATTCGAATTATCATAGAAATATAGTTATTAATTAAATTTTAATTAACTTAGTTTTATATAGTTAATATCACACTAAAAATAATAATAGGTATGATGATAATAATAAAAAATGATAAAAATATTTTTTTTTATCATAAAGAGAATTAAAAATAATAATTACAATAAAAAGAAAATAAAAGTAATACAATTTATTTTAAATGTTTTAAAAATAATAAAGTAGATATTAGTTTAAAATAGCAAAATAAATTAATAAAATTTCAAGATAGCAGAGATTATATTGTAATTTTAGCAACAATTTTTTTAAATTTAGGTATATAAAACAAAACAGAATTATATATATTTATACATTCTTACTGTGTATTTTGAATAAAATTAAACTTAAAATTGTTGAGTCGTTGAGCTGAATAATTATTTGATCAAATTAACTAACAAATACATAATACATAACAAAATCAATACTGTTTATAACTGTAATTAAGTATTATTCAATAATATTTATTAAATATTGTAACAGTAAGATTAATTTACTATTTTTTCACCGCATAATTATTACATTTTGTGATAGAAAATTTTTTTTTAAAGCTATTAAAATAAAAAAAAATAAATATTGAATTGGGTATAATGGTTAACACCACTTATAACGAAATTAATACACACAATTAAATTATTGTGATTCAAGCTGATAATAATACTATTACAAGAATATTGAAATAATCTTTTGTGAAATGTGAAATAACTAATTTTTAAGAATTTCATCAATGACAATATTAAATTTCTACACAAATAAAGAATTATTCTTACATAGATATTTTAATACATTTAAAATGGCCTGAACGCCATAATGTAAACATAAAACATATAATATAAATATTAAACAATTATAGATACCTTAGAATTATTTGATACGATATTATATTTGAATGTTTGTCCGCTAGCCTCTAATGTTTTTTTAAGTCTGAACAAAGCTGAACTATTTATGTCTTCTAATGAAATTTTTTCTAAAGCTGTGTCCAACACTTTGGAAGCTTCATTAACATTTTCTTGAGAAACTATAATAATACATTTAATATTTAGTACATAATATATACATTAGATTTTTTTTTTTTTTTGCTGTGCTACCAACCATATGAGTCTATAATAGCACTATAAACCAATCCAGAGTTTATATTTTGATTCATTGTTTTAAAAATTGGAAATATTTCCAAGAGCTTGTAACCCAATTCAATGTTATGATTTGAACGTATATCTGCTATTAGTTGTCGATATTGAATATATTTTTCATTTTCAAAATCTTTGGCTAAAACTTTAGCCTTTTCAAAATCCTTATTCAACATATAATATGACCACAAGCTATTTCCAAACAATTTATAACCATGTGGCAATACTTTGTTATGTAATCTTTCAACTAATAAAAGCATCAAATTATATTTATTAATAAAAATTAATAACAAAAAACAGTTTTTATTCAATATTTATACATCATACTAACTTGTTGGTATAATTGAATTGTCAGAATTCAGAAAGCTAACTAAACTACCACCAGGAATATTCTTTATAATATCAGATAATTTGCTTTCATTGTCAATGTTTTCATCAATACTGGTTTCTAAACGAACTAGTAGATCGTTAACATTACCTTGAGATTGGTATGCCTTAAATATCTTGCTGTTCAACCCCAATTTATTGTTAATTTGCTAGAAAATAATATTTATAATTTTATTTAATATATTATCACAAACAGTAATATCTTGAATAAAACTCTAAACTACACAAGTATTATATAATAAAGTATACATTGAATTTGTAAATATGACATGTATAAAATTATACATATAAAATAAATTTATAAAATGTATAATATAAAATTATATTATAAAATATTGTATTATATATTTTTAGATTCATTAATTTTTAATTCCAAACATTTCAATCGATGAATAATTTTTGTTTAGCATCTTATAATTTAAATGGCAAATAAAATAATTTTTCAAAATTATCATAATAGCTAAAAAACTTGTCATAAATCATTTAATTTCAATGATGTAATTGATAGATATTAACAAACTGATAATTTATATTTAACAAAAAGTTTAAAATTATTTTGCTAATACTACAATTATTTTCCATTTTATATTGTTCTAAAGTTTTTGAGATAATTATTATATAAAATTATCATACCTTAGGAATTTTACCATTCAAATATTCCAAACATGCAATGTTACCAGCATCTGAAAGTTTTCCTACCAAGAAATTTAATACATTTCTTGTGATCGGTTTATCATTTTCTAACATGTTTTTAACAATTTCAAATGCTTCATTCAATCTATTTTCACGTGTTAACAATTCAATCAGTCCAGATTCAATAATTGGTTGAATAGAGGAGGACCGTGAGTAAATACTTTTACGTAATACAAGAGCTTGATCTAAATCATTATTTTCAATAGATGACTTCAATTGATTATGTAAACTGTTTTTAACATCACTAGGAACAGAAGATATCATTTTTTCTTTTGGTTTTTGAACTGTAAATGGAACTTCCAGATTGTTGTTTTCTAAAAGTTCCTTTAAATTCCACATAAAATGATCTGATGGTTGGGTATTTTCTTCTTGCATTTGAGTCCAAAGAGCCATTGCATCATCTACTTTATTTTCTTTACCTAAAAAATATTTTTTTTTATAATACTTATAGAATTTAACAAAATTATGTGACCTTACTATAGATCTCAAGAAGTTGGTTAAATATCTTAGATCTATCAAATGCAACATTATCTCTTGTAACCTCTAGCAAATTTTTAATATGTTCTACTTTACCCTCAGATCCATATTTAGCACAAGCTGTATCAATACGGTCTTGTCTAGGTCGTAAGCCAGGAGTCTAAAAAAAAAAAAATATATATCAAATATTTAATTAAAAAGTATTGATACTTTTCCAAAAGACAGATTTTATATAATTGAAAAAAATTAATAATATTTGAATTGTTAACAGTTTAAAATTTAACTGCTTACTATGAAAAAATGTATTATAATTAAAATATATTGGAACTTGTAAAATGGTTTAATTTAAAATTCTATTTTAAATAGATATAAATTGAAATTAAAGTAAACGTAAGAAATCTTTTAATACAATCTTAGTGTAAAAGTGAACTAACCTATTATCAAATAAAATCAGTTGTATATTGTGATTATACATTGGTTTTTTACAATACTTTAAATTTTTAAGTTTATAGTTTTTTTTTTTTTAATATTTTACAAACTCATAACTTTATAAACCTTCATAAATCACTTCTTTTTCATTTACCTCTAATATTTTACGAGCTTGTTTAATACGATTACATTCAATAAATGCAAACATCAAATCATACAAAGAATTCACTTCACCATGTACAGTAGTACTTAAATCGGTTAAAACTTGCAAAGATGTAGCATCTTCAGATTTAATGAATTTTATTGCTAATTCATTTTTCCATGGAGTACACCTATATGTTTTGCAGCACCATTCAAATTTCTCCAAAGCTCCTTTGACATCATCACTACACATAATATGAACAGTAAAATAACTAAATTTAAGACAAACAAAATATTATAAAATAAATTACTTGTTCAAGTGAACTTTAATTAAAGGTCCCAGCAGTATATTGGATACAGAGACATAATTATTGTTGACAATTAGGTCAAACATTTTTTGAACATTTTCTACATTGCCAGTTTCAGCTACAGTATTTAATAACTTCCAACAAGCATTAGCATGTTGAAATGATGTAAATTCGTTATTATCATCAAACTGTTTCACAGAAGATAGAAAACTAATAGCATCTATAAAAAATAAAGGTATGATTTTATACAAAGAAATTATTTACAACCAAATATAACTAGGTATTTATAACATAAACTAATATATTTAATTAATTTTAAATGTTAAAACAATGTAAAATGCTCACTTTCAATACTTTCAGTTTGGGCTATTGCTTCAGTCAATTTTATGACTTTATATTTATCTAAAATAAAATCAGAATTTTTATTTTTTAATTCCTGGTAAATTTCTTTAGCTTCAACTAACATATTGTGATTTAAATATAAATCAATAAGTAGAACCATTGATCCATCTGGTATATTAAATCCTTCAGCTATTAATTTCTAAAAAGTATGTAGATTAAAAAAATAACAGTTTTTATAACAACAAAATTACAAAAATGAATTTTTTAGTATAATATAAAATATGCTTACATTTTTCAATTCAATAGCTTTTTCCAAATTTTTATTTTTGCAATACAAATTCAGCAATTGCCTTTTAGTACCATTTTTAGATTCACCCATGGATTCTGCTTTCTCAATAATTTTTTCCAAAGTACTTTCATTCTAAATTAAAAATAAAAATGAATAAAAATTGAACCATAAAAGTAATCAACATGAAAAATAAGCATCTCAACATTTAACAAGGACATGTCACTATTATTGACAATAAAATGTTAAAAATACATCAACAAAATTGAATTCAATTCAGCTGATCATGTTTATAACAACTATAACAATGTAAATGTTTTTCCTACATCGGATAGGAAACAAAAATTTGTCTATCACAATGTTATAAACACAATTGTTGGTGACAAATTTCAGATACATCTTTCATTACATTTTAGGTGATACATGTTTGCAACACATGCTTCTTGGTCTGGACATGACTTTATAAGTGTGAATATTATGTTATCAACACAATGTTCAATGATATGTATAGGTATAATTAATGATGGTTTCAAATAAATTTATTTTTGTAACCAAAATAAATAATAATATTATTATAATTAATTCTATTCAAATTCTCACCTAATAATGCATTTTATTTACATTATTATTATATATATAATATTAATATATTATTATATATATAATATTAATATATTATTATATATTAAAGGTTAATTAATTATATTTTTATATTTTATAAAAAATTAACAGTAAATCAGATATATCACTATATTTTTCTATTTTTTGATTGCTGAACAAATAAGACTGACTTTAAAAAAGATAGAACATAATTGATATAGATATTGTTGATACTTACTACGGCGGAAAATGTATATCCACCAGGCTTAACACTCAGCTCAACTTTGGGAATTAAATTAGAATCTGACAGATTTTCTAATAAGCTTGATAATTCAAAAGTTAACTTTCCTTGTAGATGATTTTGTATTTGTTCTACTGCACAAGCATTAATTCCTAAACCTCTTCCATACATATTCTATAAATTTAATTAAAAACATTCAATTATTAAACATAACAATTATAATAGAAAAAAAACCTTACCTCAAATAATTCCTGTAAGATTTGAACAGCACCAGAATTGTCTTTTAATTTTTTAACCACATCATTTACAACTTGGCTGATGAATTCTCGCATTTCAATAATCTGGTTTTCTGTTTTTTCAGTGTCTTTGAAGTTTTCTTGTTTTACTGTATCAGAAGTAGAAGTAAAAAGACTATAACGTGAAAGACCATTGCATATTTGTTGAAGTATTACAACAAAGGATGTTATATCATAACCAGCTAAAAATGAGTTAACTAATGGACGACGAATCAAAGAAGGAAGGTAAAAAGCTCTATTTGTTGCAGCTAAAAAAAAAAAAAACTCTTATTACAATCACTTTTATAATTATTTCATATATTAATTAATTAGTTACCAATATCTGCAGCCTGGCGAATATCTTTCTGAGACAATAAATACAAAACTAATGAATGTGTACTTGTGCCTGTTGGTATGCCTACTAATTGTAAATCGTTTATGATTTGTATTCCATTTAAACCATTTTTAAACATAGATGGTAAGATGTAATAACGAAGTGTATCAATGTTGGGGTTTAATTCATATTCGTCAATCATAATCTTCAGAACTTCTTTTAATCCTATGATTAAATAATAAACATTTAAATAATTTATAATTGATGTACATAAATAATAGAAAATTACCTTCCAAATCATTTTGATTATTTTTAGCAACTAAAATTGGCCAAAAATAATGTTGCTTAATAGTGTGTTCATTTTTTTTCAAGTAATCAAACATTCCTAATGCTAAATTGACAGATTCATTTCTCAAAGCCATTTCAGTAGCTATTTCGAATGCTTTAGGATTTAAACCTTCAGACACCAATTTTGTGCAAAATCCAATGACATGATCAAGAGACTATAAAATTTAAATAAAATTTAATAAACATAATAGATTTTTAAAAATCATAAAACAATAAATATATCTAGTCTTACACTATTAACTTTTGTAAGATGAGCAATCAAAAACCGACCAATTGGTGGAGATGTTCCATCAGACTTTATAGGTTTGGTCATTGTATCAAATAATTTAAATGCTATGTCTTCTTTACCAGCAGTTATTAATTTATATATACAATTAATGACATCTTGATTGTATCCAACTGTTTTTTCAGTTCTAAGAATAATCTAAATTTAAAAAAAAACAAAAGTAGTAATATAGTAGACTAAGTATTTATAATTAAAAATTAGAATTTTTAGCTACATATTAAAAATTAATTTACTTGATCAATTTGATCACCATGTCCATTAACAGCCAACGAATATATAATATCTAGGTATTCTTTATTATTTAGATTTATTTCTTTACTTTCACAAATGTTTATCAAGTTTAAAATTTTAGTAATATCACCTTTTTTGGCATACCCCGAAGCTAATAATGTATATGTATCTGATAAGGGTTCTAGATTTGATTCTTTCATAATATTTAAAATACCTTCAGCACTTTCCATATCACTGAAATATTGATAACATTTAATTAAAGCTAAAAGCATTCACAAATATAATTTACAATATATAGAGAGAATTTTATAAAATGTAATTTAATTATACTTAAGTTTACTCTTCTAAAAGTAGAATAATTATAAAATTAATCATTCAAATTTTTTTTGATAATTAACAATTTAAAACATTTTACAATATTGTATTCAATATACATTCAAATATTCATAATATAATTGAAACTAACAAAATAACAAAAAAAAAAAAACAATTAATTTAATTTACCCATTTTGTGAATGACCCAAGACAAGAGCATTAAAAACTAGTCTATTGATTGGTAACTGTTTATCTCGCATAAACTCTAGAATACGACTTGCACCATCTATATCACCAAACTGACAATAACTGTTGATTAAATGCTGAAAAGTTACACGATTAGGTGCAACACCTTTTTTTTCCAAATCTTCTAAAAATTCTGTTGGAGAGAATTTAAATTCATTCTCTAAATAAACTTTAAGTAATGTATTGTAATGGCTTATATCCAGAGGAACACCTAAATTAAATGTTAATATTAATTAAGCTATATAATTACAAAAGATGATTTCTTACCAATGTCATTTATAGTTTTCCAAATTTTTTGAGCGAGTGCTGTACGGTTTTCAGGGAGTTCATCTGGCACCAAATTTCCACAACACCGAAGTATCATTAACGATTGTGTTGGTGTAGCTGTTCCTGTAAAAGATCAATTGTAATTAACTCGTTGTTAGTTGTACTATTGTCAAAATGGCCGCTCTTTTTTTACATTTTTATAAAACATTTACATTTAATATTTCAATCATTGATACTCATATAATATACAATAATATACAATCAATAACATTTTTAAAAGATATACTGAGTGTCAATGATTGAAATATAAAATGTAAATGTTTTATTAAAGATCTAAAAATAGTACGGTCACTTTGACCATAGCCCGACTAATGCCGGATTAATAAAATGGATCTAAAAATATTTAGTAGTCAGAATGCTTACTCGACCTGGTGATTTCTTTTAGAACCCCTTCGATTTCTCTTTTAGTTATGCGACCATATCGCCGCAAGTCAGAATCGAGTTTATTTATACAATCGTCAATTTTGTTGGCCGCAGAGTTGTAAATGGCCGACGAAAAGAAGGATCTGCACGGATGGAATCGATTATGGAAAAAGTATAAGAGTCAATGTTTCGGCGGGCACACATAAAACAGGGTTCGTGAAAACTTACCTGTTGGGCAGTATGTTGGAACTGTGAAACGGATTAGTGTTTCCATTGCTGGGCTCTTGTTGAAGTGTCCTACGGGAAACATGCGAGTTCGCGTTCGATATTAGAGTGTTGCTAAATCTCTGTCGACTAAGGCTGTACGCGGTGCGTATGTGCTTTGAGCACTGTATCAAAACGGACATGTTGGTAGTCGTTTACGTGTAGAAATTATATCGAGCTAGTGATATGCGGAAAACACGAAAAGAGCCGATCAAGCGACAGGGGAAATAAAAATAAACGAACGGCAGGAGAAGAAAAATTTCCAAATTTTTTTCGCTATAATCGGCATTCGGCGAGTGATACGATTTTCAGATAACCTAAAAATGAAATCGAACATGTCGTGCTCACAATACCGACGTCCCGGTATAATCACTGTACCTAGTACCCGTTATCATTGCAACCTCCACGTGTGATAACAGTCAAACGATGCGTCGTCCTCGATCATTTCAAAAGGTAAATTGTTCGTTTTTCGTGATACGCGAACTGACAATGAAACGCTCGATCAACGATTTACGGTCTCTTAAATATATATAACGATATTAATAACTACATTTTTGTTTTTTTGTTGACCGAAGGTTTCGCTTTGTAGCTGCTCTTTTATCTGCTAGTATTTTCACTTATTTTTGGCTTGCTAGGGAAAATAGTTTCATCCTATTCCCCAGACTTGTTTCAATCGGTTGTCCTCTTCCTCTTACTCCATTTATTTTCCCCTCCACAGGTCCCTCAGGTGTAAAAAAAGGGTACTTAATGGTATAATTTTCTTGCCGGGGCGGTGAGATTTGAAATAACACAAAAATGTGGGTGTAATGATATACTTGGCCATAAAGCAAATCGACTTTTTAATTTAAAACATTAAATCGTTCTTTTCTTAATTCTTTCACGAAAACATGGAGATTTTCTATACTGGAGTCACTGGTTCAAGGACGGATCCAGTGGGGGTGGCCGAAGGGCCGTGGACCCCTCCAGACATTTTGAGAACGATGGTGAATCTAGTGTTTACGTGTGTTGAAAACGCAGAATGTGCAAATGTTCTACTTGAGATCATTGTAACTTCTAATAATAATAAATCATTTATTAAAAATAAGTGATAACAAACTACCAAGTGCAACAACGGCGTTCTGTGACCATCGAGAATGGAGAAATCCGTTTGATTTATTATTAGATTTGTTTTTGTTTGCTGTCATGTTATATCTATATATATATATATATAATAGATAAGAAATAAGTATGTATAAGAAATAGACATGGTAGTAGTAATAACAATTATAGTATTATATTTTTTATTATCGTATTGTCTTTGGTTACTGGTTATGTTTTTGTCATTTGTTTTAATTTTCCGTAATTCCGTTGTTACATTGTAATTTACATTGTAATACACATGCAATTTGCTGGTCATTTACCGTTTTATTATTATTAATATTATATTACCTATTTCATTATGGATCAAAAATTTAAAACTATACTCATACTTTAGAAAGGGAAGTTTGATTTAATAACTAATTGATTGATTAACATTGATTAAATATACATATATTACGTATATTTAATCAATGGTTCTAGTATTGTATTTTGATTTTCTTTATTGCCAAATCATTTATAGAAGAAGAGATGATGATGATCAAGGAATTCCTGTGATATCATTATTAATGGTAATTTAATTTACATGTGAAGTAATAGATTTATATAAACTTATAAACCTACAAATTTTTTTTGAACATTTTAAATTTTAAAATTATATTATTTTATAGAAAATGATAATATCAATAAGTATAATAAGGATATATCAAATGTTCAAGGAAGATATATTATTATGGAACCCAAACAAATATCAGTAGTTATTGAATCTGACACAGGCACTGTACAAAAAAGTAATGTGGTAAGTAAATTTAATTCTGCATTCCTAAATTGTACATGATAGATCCGCTGCAACATTTGAATATTTTTGCTGTAAGCGTCTGTCTTCAGTTGTTGATAGGACTGTATGGCATTTCAGTTATATCTAAGTACTTGTTAAGCTTATATATTTTCAATTTAACTATTTATTACACTTTTACCGTAGTTTATTTAATAAAATGTACGAAGAGTTTAAACTTTAATCTATTAAAACAATTAATACATTTTTTTGAAAAAAATGATATAAAAGAAAAATTATAAAAAATAAGAATATTGTATATATTTATCGAAATTGGATTTTTTGGAGTTATGCGACAAAAATCTTGATAATGGTTACAAGGAGGCACGTTCTTAGACTTTTGAGGCACTTCAGGTGCGTTGTTCCAAAAACACAAAAAACATTATTATTCGCGCCGACCCGTTTTCCTTATCCATTTCTTTTTCCACTTTATTGAATGTTTTGAATTTTATTGACGATTAAAAGTGTAATTATAATATTTTAACCACAAATTACGTAAGCTTACGATATTTTTTTTCTTTATTTTCGTTCGTCAGCCGTTTTTGTGTGCCACGTATCTTTTTTCTGTTGCTCGTGTGATCATCAACAAATTATTATTAATCATACGTGGATATTGGTGTTTTTTTTTTTTTGTACTCGCCATTACGGCAATTATTCATATATTTATATCTGCTCTTGCGGGCAACCATTTATTATTATCATAGGCGTACGCAGACTTGTCCACAAGGGGGCCCCTTAAAAAAAGTGAATCAAATATTCTTTTACTAAAGACTACTAGTATAATTAAATATTTTTAATTTTATAAATTATTTAATTCAATATGCAAATATAAAAATAAATACTATTTAAACTTACACAACTTATATCTAAGAAATCCTTATTAACATATTATTATACTATTTACAACTCCATCCTTCTGTCCACGGGAGTAAGGTTTTTGAATGTATTAATTACTTCTTCAATTTTTATATTATTTTCAAGTTCTGATTAGTCTGATTAATAACTAATAACTCTATTACATTTATTCACAGATATATATTCTATACTATGAGATTACAACTGGCTTTGCTTTATTCATGTAAAATGTAAAAATGTTCACTATCTTGTATAGTATAGATATACATTTATTAAAGAAAAAGCCAGAGTTTGCATGGGGGGGGGGGCGGACCCCTCCCGTGCACACGCCTATGATTACTATTATTTATTCTTTTCTCGCCAGCGAGGCATTCAAATTTACAGTGTAACTATATTTTATGTGTTTTACTTTATTTAAACAAAATAAACCTACCAAACTCAGCAATCATCATCTAGTTACCAGAACTTATCCTCCCAGTCACCACCAGTCGTCTAGTCATCACGTAATTTAATTTTAGTTGATAAGTATTCTTCCGATTATATGTGAACCCTGTGCTTTATTGCACTAGACCGGACCTACCGCAGAAGTTCCCTCATTCATAATTAAACTCTTTCTCCTCGTTCCCCTTGTAACATAACTCTAGTTCCTTCTTTCCGTGTCGTAGCTGCTGCCGTCGTAAGAGCAGCCGTGGCCCAGCTTGATTGGTGGTTAGGTTGTCTATCTATTATAGATTAAAGGCGGTCGGAGTAGTAGCCTAACTCGTCAAAGTTGGGCGCAATATTTATTATTATTTTCACTATTGTTTCACCACGTGACGGTCCCTCCTCGACTCATCATTGTCGTACCCACATCTATATCGATAGCATTAATACAAGTGTGTCTGTGATCACGTCGCGTGACAATGCGTTTGATGAAAATGTATTTATTCGTATTAAAACGTTTTTATTTTTTCACTTACAAAATGAATATTATAGTAGTTCCTGTCGATAAATTGATTATAAATATTTTTTAAAATCCTCTTATTTTATTCCAATAATTTATCAAATTTATATAAATTAACACCTCGACTTGACAGTAATTAATTAAAATAAAATATTTTGTTAAATTAATTCTTACATGTATATCTTATCATTTGAACAAATACCTACCATCTCCGATTTAATAATCCTCGGACACATTTTGGTAGGCATATAGCGACCATAATTTATGAACGCTACCAAAATCAAAACGTTACACATTATATAAAGTAGCTAACAATTGAACAATATCAGATATGTAATTAAAAGGTTTTTTTTTTCATTAAAAGTATAAAATTTAAACTGCATTGTGATAAACAATAGTAGTTTTCGATATATATAGAGTTTGTAATTTCGACTACCATGAGATTGGGAATTTAACCGAGAAATTAATTTTAGTTTAATTATAATTTTTTTTGAAATATATCGAAAAGTCTTGTTGCACTATGGTTTTATAACCCACTTACAGTAATATAAAGTTGTAAACATCATAACGAGGTTGCTGATAGTGATGTCAGAATTTGAAACCACTCTTCTCTTATTTTGGAGTACTATAAAAAAAAAAAATAATAATAATTGTCTACGAAATATGTGTTTCTTAATAAAATATCGGTAATGCATGAATACATTTTTTCGATCTTTTTTGAGTTTTCAACCAAAGGTGGTTGTGGAAACACAAGAGTTCACATATGTTCATCAAATCAGTTTGTTCATCACAATCATTTTATTGGTCTTATCCATATTGCGTTGAAAATTTGAACTTTACGTGTTCACATTTTTATCGATTATGTTATTGTTTTGAATTACGGTTAGACTTTGGATAAAATTTCGTTGTTTATGTATATTCATAGTTTTATTGAATATAATTAAATAAATTTATTATTATTTTTTTTATTCACGAAAATCACCATCGGAAGTAGTAGCCGTTGGGTAGTATTAATATGATTACTTACTTAAATTTAATCATGACGTAAATATTAAAACTAATATTGTTCAAAAACTTTACAGAATTATGATGAAAAAAAATTATAATAAAAAATTATATTTATGTCCAATACCAAGACTTTGAATTTTATTTAAACTATGTATGTTATCCATACGGTTCACGTTGTTTAAATAAATGATAACAACATTTAAAATAAAAATTATGCCCATGGACGCAGAGAACATTGGAGAATGAGTTTTTTTCGATTATTAACCTGATGATCCGTTCAATGCTATTGTGTAGGTGAACCATTTAAAACCTGTATCCGTAGACCGGAATCTTATTGTTTAATCTGTAAAGTTAACACGGAAATAGGAATATGTAGGTAAACATTCATTTAGATTTCATTCTTCAGTAAACTAAAATTTCAAACAAAACAATATTTTATTTATAAGCTGATAATAATGAATAGACGACAATATAATATGATACATAATAAATAGTCACCGGAACCAAATGTATAATTAACAAATATTTACAACGTAAAATTATCCGAAAACAATATATTATCATAATTTGAAAAGAATCGAATTAAAAAAAGTTACAAATTAATAATATTTTACATAATGTTATCTAACTATATTTATCACCTAGATTGTAAAGATTAAAATAAGCGTGCGATATTATTTAGAACATTGCTTCTTAAACTGGGAGCCGTGGCTGTATTATTGGAGAGAAGTAAAAAATTATTTTATATAAACAATTTCTTTGGGCCTTAATTTATTTATATATGTTTAAAGTTAAATACTGTTATAAAGTTTTTTTTCAAAATTACATTAAAGAATATTAATTTATAATTCATATTAATAATTAATCTGTGTGAAATTTGTACATGTAATTTTAGTGTATAATTAATATATTTCATTTATGGGATCTTGATAGTTTTACATTAAATTTAGGGAGCCCCATAACAAAAAAGTATGAGAAGCATTGATTTAGAACATCCATAATAATAATAATAATAGTTGTAGAGCACCGAAAAGGAGGACAGATTTTAAAATATTATAGTTTACTTTAGAATAAATGTACAGATAAGATAGATAAGTAGTATTTCCTATGACTAATCGTTTATTTTTTTGTATTGCGAATTTATATTTTTATAAAAATATTTTCGAACGAAATTTTCTGTGTTTTTTTTTTTTTTTTTAAAGACGAAAAAAAAAATCTTAAGGGAGAGGTAGATTCAAAACAAAACTTACATTGAGCGAGCAATTTACAGTATATTATTGGTTATATAATATAATAATAATTATAAAAACGTATATTGATCCATAATGCTACTTAATAGTAAAACGACTAGAAAATTTCTAATTATTACCGAGTTAGCTTAAATGAGTTTGATTTTTATTTTAAAAATATCATTTTAACAAAAAAAAAAATTCATAGTGATTCCTATAGTATATTGAATTAAACAAGAAGTAATGAACATATTATTTTAAGTAAAAAAAAAAAAACGAGTGTATGTTCTTTATATTCTTATTATATATGTTTAATAGTAATATAAAACTGATGAGACCTATATGAAAGTATACAAGTACAAAGTTATACAACATATTCCTAAATTGCACACTCATGACCACTGAGGTGGGTGGATTATGTATAATCTTAAAATTATAATCGTACATGATTACTTATTACGAGCATGAATATTTTATTATATTATGGTAATTTACAAACGAGTCCGTAAAAAGATTTAAGTGTACTACGTATGAGATAAACGCTAAAGACAAATATAATATTATATTAGCGTATGTAGGTGGATGGGGGGGGGGGGAATCAAAAATTATATACGAAAAAATAGATAACATCGCCAACATTGAAAACTCGTGTCCGACCAGATTATGTTGTAGCTGCTTGTGGAGCCGCTGCGTTGTGGTCTCCTCCTAAGGATAGAGCCTGCACTATTCTTGGATCTGCTTTGCTCCCTTCCCGGAACTCTTCCAATGTGAGTTTATCGTCGTGATTTTTGTCCATTTGATCGAATATTTTGTCCACCCGTTTTTGCGGAGTGTTTTCGTCTTCAGCCTGGGGTTGTTGTCCCTGTAGATGAAAAAAAAAATGAAAAATAAATTAAAATTATTTAATGAAAGCCATTCGAAATCTCGATAACATAATACATGACGTAATCAATTTAATAAGTTAATAATAATCACATATTTTATTACGTCAAATGTAATGCGCAAATTATGATCGCTCAAAACAGATCAAATATTATTCGTAGGTAATTAAATTAGTAATTAATTCGAGAAATTTTTGATTTTCAGTAGTAATAATCTAAAAATATATATATATATATATATATATATATATATATAACTCGTAAAATTAGTATTTAAAATAACTGGACTAAAGATCGATGCATTAGACAAACTAGTTTATAAAAGATTGTGCGTTGTTAATGCCCAATGATTTGCTAAAAAAGGTCTGCTTCGGAGAGAAGAAAACACGACCGAGTCGTAAAGATTTAATCAACGGAACACAGAACACATATATAATGTACATATGACCAAAAAGTATAATTTATATTTTTCATGTCGACAAAAATGAATGATAATTAATCGAAAATGTCTACGATTTTTTATCGTTTTACATCGATGAACCAAAATATACTCGTTATAAATGGTATAAAAGCAAAAACGAGTAATTTTGTACGGCGTACCGGTCAAGTACCTCATTACAATACGTGCATAATCGAATACTGTCGCTAGTTTATTATTATTATTATTATTATTGTCGTTGTTGTTATGCGAACGATTAATATCGAATAGAATCAAGCTGAAACAAGGTTATTTGGTTATAAATAAATGTAAAAAATAAAATATTTTCGACCAAGCGATAAGTAATAACTATTTCAAAAAACCTGCAATGTTTCATTGGACATTGTTTATTTGGTTGTCGTTGTTTTCGTGCACGATTATAAAAATTATAGACGGCAAAGCGATCGCGTTGAAAAGTGGTGAGAATGTGTGAACGAGTTGCGATCTCTCGGCGAACAGAGTATAGTTGAAAGATTTGGTTTGCATGAACGCAACTAATTAGTTCCTGTTATAAATTATTACTAATGTATAAATATTTAATTTCTTTGTTTTATAACTTTATAAAACCATAGCGATTCAAATTTTTAATTTTGATATAAAATAAACGTTTGTTCAGTAATTTTTACGAAAGAAATTTAGTTGGTTCTTAGTTTTTTTCTTTTCATAATTGCCATCCTCTTAGGTTTTAACAAACGAGCACCTTTTTGTGTATATGGTGTATCTCAATAATGCGTAATTGCGATAATACTTTTACTAATAATTATTTGTACGGCAAACACGACAAGCTGCGTGGACGGTCCAGGACGTGAAAAACTAACAATCTCTGCAATGTCGATGACAAAATACAATCTCACTATAGGTATAGAACTTTTAGGCCCCATAAAAACTTTCTAATCGATACAAAAAATCTTGCGAACATATAAAAAAAGTTTCCAAATTGAGTATAATCTTGCAAACGTTGATATAAAGTTTAGATTAAAAATAAATTGATATTTTTTATATTGTATTTTTGTATAATAAATATGATAAATATTTATTATTTTTTCGACGGTTCCCGAATATATCGTTTGAATAAAACATTCGCGTAATTATGTTTAGATGTGGAAATGTCGATTTCCAAATAAATAAACCGAATAAAATAATTTAAAAAAAAATAAACGTGGCCCTCCAATAACAATGATAACAGCGTTTCATAACATTGTTATCGCGGTGAAGTAAACATCGGAGCATTGTTTGCGCTGCAATGGAAAAAAAAATATTTGTCAAGCGACGGTATAAAATTGAACAACAACAAAGCGGGTGGTACATTAACGCGTTTATCGTTTTAACCGCCGATCACCCCATAGTATCGTAAATTACTATACATAGAATAACAGATAGAAAACCGTTTTTGTGGTTTATGATTATCATGACGTGAGCAACGAGTGAACGGATATGTTAAAATTTGACACTTTCGTCCAATTTTATTTGTTAAAAACCGACATACTTTGTTGCACTTTTTTTACGATTTTTCGGCTACACCGTCGTCTATTTTGACTTCCACTGTATATGATGAGTTAACATCTACGGGTCTACGTCCGGTTTGCATTCGCATGCAAGCAGTACAGTATAATAAAGATATTGAGCAAACCTACGTGGTATTATTTTCAAAAATAACCAACGGTCGAAAATGAACGTTTGCCGTAAAGTTTTTAAACATATTGTTATGGACGTGCACCAATGTGATACTTGGGGAGAGGAATACAACATTCTTAGTAAATATGTATTTGCATACACCGTATTACGTATGTATTTATAGTATATAATACGTAGAACGAGTTTATTGAAAACAACGTAATTGACTGTTGGAGGGCAGATTTTTATGCGAACGACGTATGAAATACCTCTAGTACTGTACGGCAATAAGAAAAAACTTCTTAAAAATGGCAATACGCCACTATTCGTCTCGTGTTGCAGGCATTCCAACACCACGTAGTACAGCCTATAAAAGCATTTCAAAAGTAACAAAAGTAAAAAAAAAAAAAAATACATACGAAATTTACAAATAAATAATTTATATACTATTCCTCACGAATATTAATAATAATAATACGTTTTACACAACACGAAATAGCGTTGTACACAGAAATCGGATTTTGGTTGTATGCGTTTGTTCGGGCACCTCGTTACAAGAATTAGAGTTGAATGCGCGATGAATAGTGTTGAAAAAATATTAAAAAGGAAAATCGAATTGAAAAAAATAAATAGTGTCAAAAGCTTCAAGGGCAGAAATGGAAGAGACGGATTAGAAAAGAAATAAAGGAATTAAAATCGCCTTCGAAAGAGGGACGATCGAGTGAGTAAAAGTTTCGTGTGACTGATGAATACGACGAAGAATGATTTAACACGGATGAGATGATTTTGTGAAGCTTATACGGTGTTGACACAACGTTCTTGGCAAGTATTTGATTCAAGATTTCGATGTTTGCCTTGGATTTATTTTTTAACTTTTACGAGAGCTTTTATCGACTCAAACATCGTTTTAACACGCGGCTCTCCACATCTAGCACATTTAACATTTCAACGAGAAGGTATATTGAATCCAATAGTTGTGTGTTTGATGACAATAATTTAGTTAATAGTGAAGCGAGGGGATACTGGTTCTAAATATTGACTGTATTTTCGTTAATGATAGTATTATACGTAGAGTGAATATATGGAACAAATCGTTGATTAAATTAACCAACCACAGTAAGAATATATATTTTAAATAGGTTTTGAATTATGTAGATTTCAAGTAAACTAAATGGAAATATTTGTCAGCTGTGATCTACCAAATTGTTAACCTGAACCATATGATTTCTTTAAATCGATTAAATTTAAAATTATTTGATATGAAAAAAAATTGTCTCGAACCAATCTCTAACAAGATAAATTTGAAATGTCATCAGTAATAGAAAAAAAAAAGGTAACTGCAGAGCTGTGGCCAACAACAATTAATTAATATCGTCTTTGAGTTTTCGTTTCTGACTGGTAAAGAAAATTAAATAATAGGAAAAAAATTAGAGTTCAACTTTTTTTTATCTAATCTGGGAGACTAATTGCTGATGAAGATTACTGTCGTTTTCTATGCTTGACACGTGTAATGCGTGTGCGTGCGCGAAGAGAGAAAGAGTATAGTTTATGAAAAATATTTAACAGATTTAATGAATAATAATCGAATAAGATTGTTTAATATTTTATTTTAGAGCCAATATACTTTCAATATAAAAAAAATAAATGAAAAAAACGCACATCCGTCGTATTCAATTTTTTTTTTATTTAGTACATAAATTGTCATATTCAGATCAATATATTGAATTAGTTAAATATTTTCGAGGTAAACAAAAAAGGAAAAAATTACACATTCAACCCAAAGCCTAAAACTGTTTTGATCCCAAAAATCTAAAAAATCTTTTAATGCACCAATACATACCAATGACAAACTGAAAAACAGCCTTCTCTTTAAATGCCATATTTTTCACAAATGTACAACTTTAAGTCATTTTTATTACATTTCTAACTACGATGAATATAATAGCAACATTTTTAATTGTTATTAAAAATAATTTTTCATGATGAATTCGATCCTTTAAAGTAATAATATGACCATGATTTTCCAATCTTAAGGTAATTTTAAAACAATATTCTAATAATGTATTAATTCGTATGTCGTAAATATGTATAAATAGTAATGATCGCCTATCATATTATTATTATTTTTTATCACTCCACTAAAAATATCTGTATTGAATTCTCAAATTTTCATCGTAGTTCTTCGAGTGTACAGTACATTTCCTTACAGTTCACCAATAGCAATGTCGATCCCACAAAAAACTGTGTAATAAATAAGATCAGAAAAATACGCGCAAACAATAGTGTTACAAACAATTTAATACGCAACTGTATATATTATATAACACGTAATCTTGTTTATTCGATTACACATGATATACGTTACATACGCTTAAGTATACGTGTATACGTTATTATGTTCATTGTGCACACCGCTGATATGAATGCACATGGTCAACAAATCTAATTTCATTTACGATAAAAATAAAAATAAAATAAACATGGAATATATGTATATACACCGTACGTTTGCAGATGAAACAACTTGACGAGTAAATGTACAGGACTAATATACCCGTGTGGGTAACTCGTTACGTAATTCTCTGCATGCAGACAATAAAAACCACGAGTGTGTCATTGAGTTGAAAACGTTTTACTCACTTTTCTGTTTGTATATTGATTTTTGTTTGCCATATTTCGAGTAATTCGAAATTCTAGGGAAATGTGGAAAGTGTGACGCGCTTTAAAAACATTTGCCTCTGATTCCAGTGATACACTTAATATACTTGTCTTGTCTTTTGTGGACAGACATTTTTACGAAATGACTATACCACGGTCCATGCAAATTGAATCCGTTTAACGTCGACACAAGCATAAAACGTAATATATAATGATTACTATCATGGAAAA